CTCCTGTGATGACAGAAATACCCAGTTACATCTCTCTTTTAAACGGTTCTCTCCCTCCTCTGAGAAAACGGACACATTTCTTTAAACTCACGCCCTACCCAGATTGACCAAGACAGATGTAAGACCGGACCCATCACAAAAGAAGAAATCTAATAAGTCATAAAAAGACTTCCCCACAATAAATTCCTGGGTCATGTGACCTCACAGCTGAATTCTAAAGCCCAAAACCAAAAAGATCCTAAGATTCAATACGCCCATCATTACTCTGCCTTTTCCCCTAGATCCTTCCCATTTACTTCCCTCCCCTCCCTTCACCCACCAAACTGTGCAACTCTGTGGTTTTGCCCCTACCTTTCCTTACCCCTCATCTCCCATGCCTCCCCACCCTTGAGTTCTCATACATGTTTACCTGTTAACCTATGTTTACAATAACGGTCTTATGTAGTACTTGTCCTTATGAAACTGAATTGGTTCACTCAGCATAATGCTCTCCAGCCTCTCCCAAGTTACATAGTAATTTTCCAAATCATTACTCCTAAGTGTTGCATAGCATTCCATTGTGTAGAATAGTGTGAGACATAATATATACAAACTTTGTAAGCAAACCAATTTTTAAAAAAATATTTGTATCATAGGAATTAAAGACAGAAATAAAAATATATTAATAAATAAATGCAAAGACATTCGACATTTGCTATGAGCAGCTGAACAGCAATTTTAGAAATGAACAAAATAAGTAAATATATAGGGGGGAAAGTAAGAGACAATATAGGTCTAAACTTAGAAATCCTATCCTATGGTACAAGTAGACTGGCAAAAAGTCAGAAATACAAACCAGAAGAGAACAAAACTAATAAATGGAATCTCCTGAAAAATTAAGTCCTTGTACGTATCAAGCATTTCTTTTCCAGTAAGGTGAAAAGAAAATCCACTGACTGGGAAAAAAATACATTTGGCAATGCCAATCCAGACAAGGATCTCATAACAAAAGTTTACCAAACTACAGAGTCTCCACAAGGAAAAGACTGATAATCCAATTACAAAAAGGGCAAAAGACCTGGAAAGCCTTTTCACAAAAGAACATATTTGAATGGTCATGAAGGAATGTTCAAAATCACTGGCAATTAGAGAGACACAAATCAAAACCACAATGAGATACCATCTCACCCCAGTAGCAGGGTCAAAATTTAACAATACAGCAAGCAATAAATGTCAGCAAAGATATGGAGAAATTAGAACTCTCATACAGTGTGGTAAAGGCCAGATTGGAAGAGAAAAATTAATAACAAACATTGTTTAACAATTGGTATATGGAATGCTTGTAGTGTGAATGTCAGAAAACCGGAAATTGTTAAAAATGAAATGGAATAGAATAGAATAGAGACATGCTGAAACTGAGGAGGACTTGAAGCAATTACTGCAGAAGGTCAAGGACTGAAGCATTCAATATGCATTGAAGCTCAGTATCAAGAAAACAAAGATTCTCACTGCTGGGCCAATTGGCAGCATCGTGATAGATGGTGAAGAGATTGAGGATTGTTAACAGTTTCCATTTGCTTGGTTCCACAATCAACACACTTGGTACCAGCAGCCAGGAAATCAACGGCAAATTGCATTGGGAAAGTCTGCTGTCAGGGACCTCTCCAGAGAACTCAAGATAATTGTGTCAGTTCGGAGACTAAGATGAGCCTGATCCAGGCCATGGTCTTCTCAATTACTTGATATGTGTCAGAAAGCTGGACAATGACAAGGGATAGAAGGAGAAATGATGCCTTTGAGTTGTGGTACTGGGGGAGAATACTGAATACACCACTGACTGCTAAGAGAACAAACAGGTTCATCCTGGAGAGGGTTAAATCAGGATTCTAAAGCTCTGTCTGACATGCTTTGTACATGTTGCGAGGAGGGATCACAGCACAGGAGAGGAAGACCCTTGATGAGATGGATAGATTCATTAACTGGGGTAAAGGGGGTAAGTGTGTCAGAGACAATAAGATTGGCACAGGATAGAGCATGGTTTGGGGCTGTTGGAGACAGAGTCACTACAAGTTGCAGGGGACTCGACAGCACATAACAACAATAACAATAACAGGCATTAGTGTGATGTGATGGACCAGCTATGGCACTTTGAATGAGATAAGCATATGATATACTATGCAGGAAATAAAACGCAAAAGAATGGTGTTATATTCATAGTCAGAAAGTCAATTTCAAGTTCTATCCTGAAATAAAAGGTTGTGAGTGATAGGATAATATCAACACACATACAAGGAAGACTGGTTAACACAAATTTTAAAGTATATGCTCCTATATCTAGTTCTAAAGAGAAAAAAATTGATAATTTTTACCAAATTTTGCAGTCTAAAACTGACCAAACATGCAATGAGGATGAGTTCATAATTGGTGACTGGAAACAGTGAAGAAGGAACAGTAGTTGGAAAATATGGACTTGGTGATAGAACCGAAGCCAGAAATAGAATAAGTGAATTTTGTATTTACAATGATTTATTCATTGAAAATACACTTTATAAAAGACACAAAAGATTAATTTTGCAAGTAGATTTTACCCAATGGGCTGTATTGGAAACAGATTGATTACATGGGAGAAGCTCAGCACTCAAAACTAGACCAAGTGCAGACTGTGGATCAGATTATCAATTACTTGTATACAAGTTCAAATTGTGGCCAAAGAAAATTAAAATAAGTCCACAGGAACCACGATATGATCTTGAATAAATTCCATCAGAATTTCATGATCATTTTAAGAATAGGTTTGAAGCATTGAACACCAATGATAGTAGACCAGATGAGTTGTGGGATGATATCATGGATATAATCCATGAAGAAAGCAAAAAATCATTACAAAAACAGAGGAGAAAGAATAAATCAAAATGGATGTCAGAAGAGACTCTAAATATTGCACTGGAATGCTGGTCAAGAAGCCAAATATAAAGGAAAAGATGTCGAGGTGAAAGAGCTGAGCAGATGAGACAAAGGAAAGTATTATAATGGAATGTGCAGAGAGCTGGAATTGGAGAAAAAAAAGGGAAGAACTTGCTCTGCATTTCTCAAGCTGAAAGAACTAAAAAACAAATTAAAGCCTCATGTAGCAATGTCAAAAAATGCTACAGGAAATATATTGAATGATCCAGAAAGCATCAAAAGAAGATGGAAGGAATACACAGAGTCATTATACCAGAAAGAATTGATTGACACTGAAAAACTTCAGGAAGTACCATGGTATTTCAGGAAGTCAATGGTAATGAAAGAGAAAGTGAAAGCTGCATTGAAGACATTGGCAAAAAATAAGGTCCCAGGAATAGATGGGATATCAATTGACTTGTTTCAATTAACAGATACAGTCTTGAATGCACTCTACAGTCTATGCCAGGAAATTTGAAGGACAGCTGCCTGGCCAATGGATTGGAAGAAGTTCATATTTGTTCCTATTTCCAAGAAGGGTGATCCACCTGAATGTAGAAATTATCAAACAATATCATTGATATCACATGCAAGCAAAATACTGCTAAAGAACATTAAAAAATGGCTGGAACAGTATGTAGATACAGAACTGTGAATTAGAAGAGGCTGTGGCACCAGGAATATCATTGCTGATGTCAGACAGATCCTGGCTGAAAGTAAGGAATACCAGAAGAATGTCCATTTGTGCTTTATTGACTATGCAAATGTGTTTGACTGTGTGGATCATGGCAAGTTGTAACTGACATTGAGAAGAATGGGAATCCCAGAGCACTTGTTTGTGCTCATGAGACTGTTGTGAGAATGGAGTAGGAGAGCACTGCATGGTTTGGAATTGGGAAGGGAGTGTGACAGGGCTGTATTCTATCTCCATACCTATTCAATCTATATGCTGAGCAAATTTTCTGAGGAGCTGGGCTCGAGGAAGAGGAATGTGGCATCAGGAATGGAGGATGAGTCATCAATAACCTGCATTGTGCCAATGACACAACCTTGCTTGTCAAAAGTGAGGAATACATTAAGCACTTGTTGCAGAAGATCAAAGAATGAAGCCTTCAGTATTGATTGTGTCTCAATATCAAGAAAACAAAGATTCTTAAGTCTTGACCAATAGACAGTGTCATGATGAATGGAGAGGAGATTAAAACTGTCAAGTTTAAAGATTAAATCGTACTTGGATCCACAATTGCCTTTGAACATGCAGTCAGGATATAAGGAGATGCATTGCCATGGAGAAAATCTGCAGTAAGGACCTTTCCAAATTATTGAGGACAGTTTGAGAACTGAGGTGCTTCTGATTCAGGTCTGAGACCAGGACAATGAATAAAGATGGCAGAAAAAGAGTTGATGCCTTTGAACTATGGTGTTGGAGAAGATTAATGAACATCCCATGGACATTCAAGAGAACGAACAGATACGTCTTGGAGAGTGTGCAGCTGGAGTGCTCTTTGGAGGCAAGGATGATGAGACCTCGTCTCACATACTTTGGACATATTGCTAAGAGGTGCTATTCCTTGGAGAAGTACATGATGCTGGGTAGTGAAGAGGGTTGGTGAAAGAGAAGAAGACCCTCAATCAGACGGATTGATATGGTGACTACTACAATGGGCTCTTGTGTGTCAGAAAGTGTGATGACAATGATACCTAATTATATATCCCTTTTAAACAGTTCTCTCCCTCATCTATTTCAATGCAGTATACATAATTTATCCCATCTTTCTCAGTCTTCCCCCAGCCTCAATGTCAGCCCCATTTTACAACAGTGGCACTATGCAGTAGTTGTCCTTTTGTGACTGAGATATTTCACTCATGATTAGGTATTATTGTCATGACAGGAGTCCAAAAGGAAGGCTGCATAGTGGAGTGGACTGGGGAGAGGGATTGTATAACAATGAAGGAAGAGAAAACTTGGGATGGGGGGGCAGGGAGAAAAGTGCAACAACGAATGAATGGAAATCCAAAGTCTCTATAAATTTTCATTAAAATAAATAGGTTCGCTCTCTCGGATCCTCGCTTCCAACATGACGAAGAAAAGGAGAAACAACGGTCGTGCCAAAAAGGGCGGCGGCCACGTGCAGCCTATTCGCTGCACGAACTGCGCCCGGTGCGTGCCCAAAGACAAGGCAATTAAGAAGTTCGTAATCCGAAATATAGTAGAGGCAGCTGCTGTCAGGGACATTTCCGAAGCGAGTGTTTTCGACGCCTATGTGCTTCCAAAGCTCTATGTGAAACTGCACTACTGTGTGAGTTGTGCCATTCA